AGCCATGTGTTCAAATAAAAGAGAGAATATACTTGTTCATTGTTCAGTTGTTAGAAAATAGCTGGAGAAAAGATGAGATTTCTGTACACCAGTGAGATGCGGCACAGCATACGAAAGCAGAAGGGTTGAATCAACAGATAATGAGTTCCTGTCCAGCCTCTAATTCCTGGATTTGGATAATCTTCCTGCAGAATCTCTCTGCAGTCTGGCTTCAGATTTCTTTATCTGTATTCGGCTCTGTTTTATCTCCTGTGAAAAGTCTAAAAAGGCTTTTAGGAATAGTTCATTATTAAGAATACCCCATTCTTATTAAAACTAATCAAAAACATTGAAAAGGTGAAGGGAAGTGCAAAATACTTCTGTTGTTCCCTTCAGCTCTTGTAGAAGCACAGAGCATTGATTGACCCTCCCTCCTCTCCAATCTCAACAGCCTTCCCATCCCTCCAGAGATCTTGAGTATCAAGACTACCCAATATAGGCTAGCCATTTTACAGATTCCAAGTGTGGATTCTCTGGCTCCTTTATCTGACATCGTTTCTTTCCATTCCTCTTGTAGAAGGGTTGCACCCTGTGTCTAAGAGATAGATTATCAGTATTAACAAGACAGAGGCTGATTTGTCTTGTAAGTATCAGCCATGCCCATTAAAGCCAGTGAGGTTCGGGGCATGGCTGAATAAGCAAGATCTCTGGAGGATGTGATAATAAACTCACAGCTGTTTGAAGCTACCTGCCTGCTTGCTGAGGCAGGCGTTTATATGCACACACTGTAACAGGATTTACAGCAATACCTTGACAAAGTTCAGTCGTAGAGACTTTCTGATCACTTAACCATTCTGCTGAGAACCTGAGTAAAGCAAATCTGTAAAAAGATATTAGAAATTTAAGTCCAGTCAAACCTCTAGCTCCAAGTGGCAGGGTGGCTTCTCCAGCCCTTTTACTTTCTTTCCATTCCACCCATTTCATCTAAATAAACAAATAAATAAATAAATGGTGATTACCGGTATTTGTAAAAAACAGGCTACCTTTTTGTTTTGAGGGCATCAGGTTCCCAATTAAAAACAATAAGTTTCTGGGCAATGTATATTCATTTCAGCAAGCAGATTGTTAGTTTGAATGAACTGTTGGTTCACCTAGGATTGATAGTACACAGGTTGGATGGATAAGGTATGGAACATTGTTCCCTTCTTTGCCACTTCTTTAAATATGAGAAAATTTGATTTAACAAAATACTTTTGCAAACATTCATATTTAATTGCCTTTTAAGATGTTAGTTTATATTACAGGATATGTCCAGAGTTTTCAGGGTTTTACCCGTGAATGCATGAGATGCACGCTCTCCCATCCAGTCTCACATATTAGGCAAGTCTTCTGCACAAGGCACTGTCTGCATCCTAGGAACACAATGCTAAATGACAACACAGTCCTTGCCCTTAAAAACTTGGTCTCATTGAGATGACAGTTGAACAAACACAAAAGGTAAGCTATGTTCAAAAAGGAACCTTCCAGGTCACTCTTACTTGAAGAAATTCCCAATCTAGTAAGGAAGTGGAGGGCCTGTGAGAGTGAAAACTGAAATTTGAATGATTTAGAGTTTATGGGGGCAGTTGGTGTAAGAAATACCAAGAGCATTCTAGAAAAAGAAGTGATATGCACAAAGGTCTAGAAGTGAGAGAGGACTTGAGCTGTTTGGGGAACAGAAAAATGGCATGGCTATAACTAAAATGGAAAATCGAGGTAAGGAAGTAGGTGCAAAGCCACAGAAGTCTTTTGGGACAAACCAAGGCATTCAGGCTTAATTCTAAGAGGAACAGAGAGCTAGTGATGGAGTTTCAAAGAAGAGAGACAAAATGTGTTTCAATGGCCTTTTAAATAAAAGGCTAAGTTGTGGCCGCTGAATTATATGTGGTCCTAACAGTACCCAGATATAAAGAAATAGCATTCTATAGTATGAAATCAAAGGGGGCTTTAAATTAGCAATTTAGCCTTCAAAACACTATAGGAGATCATTAATCTCATCAAATGACAAGGTTGTCACTCCAGATGATTGAGATTATTATTACCCATTAATTTTATGATAGAACTAGTAATCTATATTAGGAGGACAATCTAAATTTCAGTTGAAGCTCTGACTCTCTTAGTTCGAGTAGACTATCAATAGAGTATCTATCTACTATCAGTAGACTATCAATAGGTAAACAATAGCTTATGAACTGATACTACTGTTAAGACAATCACTGACCTAATGAAATAAAACCTCCAAATTTTGTTTTTGGAAAAACAGCTTCTAGGTAAAGCACAGTTGAAGGTGAAGGGTGCCTAATACCTCTTTTCCCTTTTTCTTTTTAATCCAATTATTTACTCAGCGTTCCACCAAAAAAAAAAATTAAAGCCCTTCCTACACATCAGACACAGGGATACAATAGAGTCCACAGCACCATGTTTTTACTTACAAGCAGAAATTAAGCAATCAAAACATTGCAGTGATTATTAGGATGAAATAGAGTGGAAGGCGGGTACCTGGCCAATATCTTGGCACAGAGGAAAACGAGTCTAGAATAAAAGCTTTTCTAAGTGACACTGAAGCTTAATGTTAAGGTGTCAAAAGATACTTCGGGTGAAAAGAAATCAGTGTACAAAGGCCCTCAGGCAAGCAGCAGCGACATTTAGAAACAGACCTCTCCTCTGGCTTGGGTACAGGATCAGGGGCATGCTGAGAGCCCCAGGGGTGTACAGCCCAAGGTGGGTTTAGTTCTTTGTGTGTGGGGGTCCTCTTTAGCATAGTTCATGGGGGGACGGATTTTACAAACCACCAAACCTTTAGGTTCTGACTTGTGGAATTTTGAAAGCATTTCTGTAATAAATATGAGGTGAGTATACTGTTTGGCAAAGACTGTGTATATTGGCAAGATGAGAAAACCTGCTGTGAATTCTAAGAACATGGAACACCAGTCTCGGGCAATACAAAGCTGAAATGACAAATGTCAAACATGAATCGTTGTGCATGGACTGCCTGCTCAGAAAGTTTATTCCTTTGCAATTATACTTCTGAGGCCTTGGAGGTGAAGGCACCATGTTACCATTGACGTGTGATTTTATAACATCTCAGAGACCACTGCTTGTCTTGTTCATACTCTGTAGCTGTCCTGTTAGGTTCTAGTGTTTCTCTTCTTCAGTGAATACTACACAAGGATCGACAAGTCAGAAACAGCTCAAAGTAACAATCCCTATATATAGTAAGTAATAGCTGTGGTGTTCACAAGAAGTATGCCCATAACCCCTAAGACTTAATGCCATCACATTATCTGCGCTTTATATTTTCATGTGCACTTGGCCTCAATTATTCCTTCTGACAATATTGTAGAGTATTACAATCATGATTTGGGCAGATAAGGGCTCTAGGCTCAGAGAGGCTAAGTGTGACTTTTCTTGACCCAATCATTTAATGTAGCTTCTCATTTTCTAAAGCGTTCTCTACAAAGGCTGCCTGCCAACATATGTGGTGAAAAGCATGTACTTTAAGGTACACTTTCAGTTTCTCTTAAACAATATTAAGAACTCAGAGGTACACAGGCTTTTACAACCATATACCTGTTCATCAATGTCTAACTTCTTGCCTTTCATCCATATTTCAAGTTGAAGGGGCAGGGTCTACTCAGACTACTGACAGGGGGGCCTCCTATCATTTCAGTTATGAGGAGGACCACTTCTCAACCATGTATCTGCCCATCTATGGTCACAATCGTAAAGGGTCGACTTCCCATTTTCCTAATAATGGAAAACTATCTCTGACTCAATGAGAGTACATATAATAATTGTGATCACTCAGGTAAACTGAAAAAAACAAGTTTCACTTGTTTTAAAAGAAAAATAGATGCAAACAGGGCAATATTGGTATTTAAAAGACCAGTTTACACCGTCCTAAAACCTGCTATCAAAAAGCATTTGTTCAACAAATTGGGTGGTTTAGGAGTATGGCAAACACTGTAGACTGTGATAACAAGTGATTGACATCTTTGGCACAATGTACAAGGGAGAGGCGTGTAGCCTAACATTTGCTAATATCCTTTCCTGGAAAAAAAAAATCAGCTGCGAGAGAAGCAATGGTGACTGTGTGTAATGTTTTAAAAACTCGAAATCCACTCTCCCCAGAGTAGGAACTTGGAAGTTCACCAACAAGGATGGTATTGCATATTAGCTAGTCAACTTGGCTTTCTAATTAGCTCAAGAGAAAAGGTAATATTCTCTTTCCCAGTGAGCCCTCTTTAGTTATGTGGTATTTGCGCATCTCACCTGGGCCTTTCAGTTACAAATCCACCTCCTTGAGGAGCCCTGTGAAAAAACAAGATCAAAAAAAAAAAAAAAAAATCCAGCTATAAATCAGCCACGTGGAGCTAGCTACTGCTGCAGCGGTAGCTGACTTCCTGGTTTGCTTCCTGCAAGCCTCACGCAGGGGAGATCCGGCAGTGGGCTTCAGGAAGGGAAGGGCAACCTAAGTCCACCTGAGGGGCGACCGGTGGCGGCAGCATCTTGGGAGGGCACGGGAGTCAAGGACAGAGTATTAATCCACAATTTCTATAAAAGTTTGGGGCTCTGGAAGCTTTAGGAAGCCGAGCCGTAGGGCAAAGGCTAACAGCAAACCTGGGTGAAAGTGTTAAGTTAGTTCCAAGGTTACTAGGGACTCGCAAGGGGGTTCTCCCGGTGGCGGGGGTGACGGGAGGGAGGGGTGACTGCGGAGATAGAGCGGGCAGGTAGAAAGGAAGACTGGAGAGCTATCCACTCCGGCCGGTCGGAGCTCTGCGGAGGCCGCCGGAGGGGAGGGGGGTGCGGCAGCGGAGCGCAGAGGCAGGCGCGGGGAGGGGGCGGAGGGGCGAGCCAGGGGAAGGTAAAGCCGAGGGGAGTTCCGGATCTGGAGCTGGAGAGGGCAGGCGGTGGGGAGGGCGGCGGGCGTAGCGATCCGGGTGGGGGGGAAAGAAGGAGGAGGAGGGCCGGGGGAGGGGGAAGAAGGGAGGGGAGAGCGGTGGCGGCGGCTGCGCCGGGCTGTGTGTCTCTCGCCACCGGAGGAAGATGAGGCTGAAGATCGGGTTCATCTTACGCAGTTTGCTGGTGGTGGGAAGCTTCCTGGGGCTGGTGGTCCTCTGGTCTTCCCTGTCTTCGCGGCCCGACGACCAGAGCCCGCTGAGCAGGATGAGGGTGAGTGACCCGCCCGGCCCCCCTCCGGCAGCGGCGACCTGCAACTTGTTTTGTTTGCGCGCGCGTGTGGCGGGAGCGAGGGGCGGCGGGGTCGCGGCAGCGTGGGCGCCGCAGCTCCGCAGGTGGCGCTGGCCCGGCGCCGGCCGATCGGGGGCGCCCAGCCCCACGCCGCGGGTCCCCCTCGGCCGCCGCCGGCCCGCCCCCTGGCCGCCCCTTCCTCCCGCGCGTCCCCGCCCCGGGTTCAGCGCCGTCACCCGCGCTGCGGCGCCGGAGACGGCGGCGGCGGCTGCCGAGGCGGACGCGCTAGTGCCGGGACTGCCGGGACGGAATCGCGGGACGGAGTCCGGTCCCGGGAGCCGAGGCTGCTCGGCGTCCCACTCGGAGCTGCGACCCCCGCGGTGGCGGCAGGAGGACGCGGGGCTTGGTCCCTGCTGCGGCCTGTGGCGCGTGCAGGCCTGAAGGAGGCGAGATGCCGGCGCCGCCGCCGTGGTCCGGAGGAGCAGGCCCCGCGGTCCAGCCTCCCCGGCGGTCCCCGCCCAGCCCGGGTGCTCGTCCCCGGGGCGCTCTCAGCCTGTCCGCCCCGGGCTCCAGCCCACGGCAACGCCTCCCCGCAACTCCCGTAGCCGGGAGCCGGGTGTGACGTGCCGCCCAGGCCTTGCCCGGCACTCGCCGTCCCTCGATTCCCGGACAGGGGAGGCACGGGTCTCCACACCGGATCGGTGTCCCTGCACCCGGCCGCCAGGGAACCCCCGTCCGCCCGCGGCGCTCCCGCCATGTCCCGCGGATCCCGAGCGGGCTCCTCTCCCCGGGGCCCTGGCTGGGCTGCTCCGGCCGAGGACATAACTTGTTCCTGCTCCTGGCTGCCCCTCGCAGCCTGCTCCATCAGCCAGACGCCGAGAGGCGCGCTCCGCCGGGACGCATCCGTCTGCCGCCCTCGGCGGCGCTGGTGTTAGCCTTGACAGCGCCTGGCTTTGAGGGTTTAGTCAAGCTGCTCGGAACTTTAGTTACCGGGATCCGGCCACTGTGCTACACTTACCCAGCAGTTGGCGGCGCGAACTACACTGCTCCCACCTCCCTGGCTTGACCCACCCCCACCCTCAGCAAAAGGAACCGTTACAGCCCCTGGAGTTCCTCACTCCCCCTCATCCCTCCATGCCCACTGCCAGGTCAGACGCAGAAGGGAGTGGAAGATACTAAGGGTTCCGGGACACAAGTGGGACACAAGCTGAGCAGCCGTGGGAGGAGTGTGTAGTCAGGTGCCTTTTGCAAAATCAGCGTATCATCTACATGTTGTACTTTTAAACTTTACTTTTGGAAAGTTAGTGTCAGGGAGTTGAGTGTAAAAGCTTGTGATGACGGTCCGAGAAGACTCCTAGGAGGAGGTCCCCCTGTCACAACGTAATCTGTAAATTGCAGTACTTGAGGCTGACTTTACCAGAGTCCCACCTAAGTCACCTCAATGGATAAAACAATTAAAGTTTCCTTTTCAGTGTGTTTTGAGTGATGGGTGGTTTTTTAAAATCATTTTTTGCTCTCAAATTTATTGAATTTATTTTTTTATCAAGTCATCAAATACCCTTTTCTATAAAAGGGCTGTATATAGTGCTGGAAATCTTAAACCTCATTTTTCTGAGAAGGAAATCGAAAAGTCTGCCAAAGCTAGTGGTGTTCAAAATGTCCTGTAGTTCTGACCCTTTTAAGTTGTGCCCAACCAAATGAGGCCTACCTATACTCCCAGCGTTTGGCAGGCTGAAGAGGGTTACTATTGGCTATATATCAAGTTTACGGACAGCTGGGGCTACATGAGACTTTAGTCTCAAGAAGCTGGGGTGTAAAAAGTAGAGGCATGTCATAATATATTTCTAGATAGCTTATTAGTTTTGATATGTAATAAACTATAGTGCCCACTTGTTTATGAGATGAGCACAGCTTAATTTTTTTGCCCACTGTATTTGATTAGTCAGTAGATCTAATATAATTTGTCATTTTTATACTTTGACAAAGATAGACCAAGATTTACCAGCACAGTATTAAAAAGAATGCTACGTATCAGCAGATGTTAATGACTTACCAGCAAATAGTAACCTAAAGCAATTTAAGGTGTCAGATATCATAAGAGTATAAATCTGGGACTGTTACTTCCCTATAATGAAAGCCAACCTGAGGGTTCTTGAGAGCCAGTGTTGGAGGAACAGGGAAGTCGAGTTAGGGAAGAGTCAAATGCTGACTCCTGGGTTTTCCCAACCCCTTGTGGTACTTTTACAGTGTGCCTGCAGATGCTTCCCTCCATTGTGAGAACCTGCTGCTCTTGGATGTGGGTCCATGTGTGGCTTCTTTTGATCCCTCCAGACCAACCTACCTTAGCAAATGAAAGTTCTGCCCCTGCCGCCACCAGGGCTCTGTCCAGCCAGGGCCGCATTTGCCTTGTACTGCTGGTATTACTGGAGCTAAAGAGTCCTTTGAAGATTTCTTTGCTTTCATTTTTGTGGAATGAGTGAGGTGAAGACAAAATTCCCTCTTCTGAGCCTCTTGCTGTTTCTCTGGGGTGAATGATATTTAAAATGGCCTTACCACTTCAATCTGATTTATTTTGCTTTTGGAGGTGGGATCTCTTATAGCTCAGGCTGGCCTTGAGCTCTGTATATACCTGAAGATGGCCTTGAACCTTTGCTCTTTCTGCCTATACCTCCGAAGTGTTGGGATTACCGTCATGTGTCACCAGGCTGGGTTTGTGGTGTGCTGGGGAATCTTTGTGTGTGGCAGGCATACATTTTGTCAACTGAGCTATATCCACAACTATTATATGACTATTTTTGTTGATGTATTCAGACATCTGTGAATGCCTGCTATATCCTGGGCATGGTGCTAACTATTAAGGAAACACTTCTTGCTTTAACATAGTGGGTCTTGCAACCTAGTGAGAAAAACACAATGGTAGTCAAGGCTTCACAAATACACAAATACAACTGTGCTCTGGAGGAAATGTGAATACACTTGTGTTATGAAGGAAAACCTTAGGAGGTAAGAAAATGGAGAGATTTGAGCATGCAAATCTTAGTTAATAACTGACTTCTGAGCTGAAATCTAAAGATTTGAACAAGGGTAGTTGTTGAGCTCGGGGTGGGATGGAACAGTTCCAAAAGAAGCCACATGTGCCAAGTTTCTGGGACACGAAGTAGCAAGGATATGGTGAGAACTGGAAGGTTGATGTAGGGGAACATGGAGAGTGAGACTAGACAGAGTGATACTATACAGGGCTAGATCTGTGGACCATGCCATTATGAGTTTGCATCAGTGGGAAGCTACTGAGAGATGTAAGTAGGGGAAAGGCATGGCAATATTTGTGTTTTAGATCACTGTAGCTCCCTGTACATGTGCTTTTTAAGAACAGGTAACAGGAGTCTCTTAATAATAATCCAAGTCATATGTGACATTATTTGGCCAGGTGGTTGTTGAGAGATGAAGTAAATTGATTCAAGAGCAGCTCAAGATGCAAAGGCACCAGGATTTGGTGAATGGATGTGGAGGGGACAATTTCAAGAAGTCTAGGATGACAGCTGTTTGTTACATTAGGATAAGTTAAGAAGACAAGATTCATGCGTTCTATTTGTAGTTTATAAGGTCATTTTAAAAATGGATTTTTTTTTTAAGGTCACCATTTATTAAGGCCATTGTTTAGACTTGGAAAGTGCAGAACATTTTTCTAAGTAAGTAAAGCTAAAGCGACTGTGTTTCAGGGTGACACTGTTTCTCCCAGGTGTTACCCCTGGTTGTTTGATATTGAATCATATAAGCTCTGGAAAGAAAGGTTTGTAGTGGAAATGTTGACAGACCATTAACTTCAGAGTTTCTATTCAGATGTTCAGTACTGGAGAGACCTGTGCACAACCTGATTACTGTGTGTGTGGGTGTGTGTGTGTGTGTGAGAGAGAGAGAAAGTATATGTGTGTGAGAGAGAGAGAGAGAGTGTGTGTGTGTGTGTGTGTTTGAGTGTGTATTAAGAGAGAGGGAGGAAAAGAGAGAAGTTCAGAAGCTTTTTTTTTTTTAAGCTTCAGAACCATTCAAGGCAGAATTCTTGTTTCCTGGTCAGAGTATCTCTCCACTCTCCTTGGTGCTGAATTTATGGGAGCCGACAACGATGATGATGGTGATGATGATGATTTTATCAAATAATGTAAAGTGAGGTGCTGATGGCTCCTCTGTAAGCCGATCCCCTAAGTGGATACATCTGTTGGTTCTGTGGGAATGATGTCTATTGAGTGATTTGGCAGGGTGGGATAGCACCCTGCTTTCAGCTGTCCCCTCATCTCCCCCTGACTTAGGCTCCATACATGCTGCTCACAGCATACAAAGTACAAGTCCACCGTCTCTACTTGGCAAAAAGAAACTAAATAAGCAAAGCTGCTCTTAGCTCAGTAGCTATATGAGGAGAAAACAGGGCATCTCCAGGAACCACATCCTACTTGTTTGTCCATAGCTGTGATAACACCATGACCAAAAGCAGTTTGGGGAGGACAGGGTGTTTCAGCTTACACATTGCAGTCCATTTGTGAGGGAAGTCAAGGCAGAAACTGAAGTAGGATCTTGGAGAAAGACTGCATACTGCAGCTGCCTTACTCAGATCCCCTAGGATCAGGAACAGCACCTCCCACAGTAGACTGGGCACTCCCACACCACATTAATCTGTAATCAAGAAAACGCCCCATCAACCAACCCAAAGGCCAACCGGATGGACAATGGAGGCATTTTCTCAGTTGAGGTTCAAGTTGACAGAAAAACAAAACAAACAAAAAACAGCACAAAATGTTATGTTAGTAACATTGGTAGAGAAGGCTTAAAAATAGCCATTTGGAGAGCACACAGTTTTTAGTAAAGGAGGGAATGAGAACTGTTGGGCAGCAGTTGGATTTGGATCACTTCTTTGTCTGGTAGGCTGGCCATGTGGAATGGGAGATAAGAGGTGTAGTGTGGATTTCTGTGTAAGCCACATCATGCCAGGC